AAGAGGGGTGTGACGATGCCATGTGGGAACTCCCACCCTTCCTGGGACACCGTGGGGAAAACCCTGCCGGCCTGGGTGGTGACGTCCATGAAGCATTTGGGCTGGACAAGGCGCGGTCTCTGCCCCACTGTTAAACCAAAACTCCACGGAGATGCAACAGATAAGAGACAGGGATGGAGCCTTGACACACTCTGGGAATTCCTGGCTTGGGTATCGCCACCAGAGAACAGGACTGCCCAGACCAGTCCCCTTTCCTCGGGAAGGGAGATGACGTCCCAGCCCTTACCTGGAAGCAGAAGGACCTGCTGGCAACGTGCCCATGACCCAGAAGGAACTAGCCTGACTAAGTGTGGGAAGAGTTGCTTCTTCAGCCCTTCCCTCCCTGTAAGGTGCTGCAGAAGCACTTGGCTGCTCAGGGTTGTCTGGAACCTTCAGCCAAACGCTCCACACTTGACTAAGAGACCCAGGAATGGGTCTGTTAAATGACCTGACCCTGGATGAAGCCATGGGTGAGAACACCTCAGCAGGGGAGGAACCCCCAGGAGCAGGGCTGCTCTTGGCAGCCTGTGGGTACAGCAGAGCTCCCATCCCACAGCTCTCCTCACCTCCTTCCTTTGGTGGTAGGTCTCTCCCACTTTGATGTGCCCCACCAGGCTGCCCCCCGTGCGGGAATCCAGGATATGGACGACTGTGGCCATTAGGTCATAGATATAGACCGACTCGGGGTCATCAGTTGGGCTCAGCTGCAAGAAGAACCAGCCCCAGGGAAATGTTTGAACCCAGGCTGTCTGCCAGGCAGTTCCCAAGCCTCCCAAACCCAAACCCCAGAGCTCAGACATGACATCTCACCACCAGCCCAGAGGTTTCCACGCTTGCACGAGCTGTTTCTGAGACGCCCTCGTTACCTCTCGCCCACACACACTCAGCAGAAAGAGGTTCTGAAGCAGTTCTGCTCCCGCATCCCCACGTGCACGCAACCACATAGCCCCAGAGGGATCTCATCAGCCTTTTACCTCATCATTCTCACTCCAGTTGCAGACATCCAGCTCCTTGCTCTTGGTCAGCTTCATCTTGATGGCATGGGGGATCCAAATATTCTTCAGTTCCTCCACAGAAGGATATGAATGCCCCGTCTCGGGGTTCCCCAGATCTTTCCTGCAAGGAGAACCATGGAAAGCCAAGTTGGAGAGAGTGTCACAAGATGTCATCCAGGCCAACTCCTCCAAGGCAGGATCCTCCTCACCCACCCCACCCACCAGCCCATTCCTAAACCTTCCACAGGACAGATGGGGAAGCCAGAGCTGCACCACTTCCCCACAGCTGCCTAGAGCAAGGTGGTCAGGTAACATCGGCCAGAAAGGGCCAATACATGCTCCTGGCTCTTTTGTCACTCTGAAAAGGGAAGGGGGACGAGGCTGGGGGCCCAGAAGTGGGTCATAAGGGCACATCTGAAGGGGAAGCTGCACAGAGCACTTGTGCAGGATCACGGTCTCAGAGCAGCAACGAGACTGTTCCCGTTCAGAGCCCACGAGGAGCTACAGGCCGGTAAATTATCGTTATCAGATGAGAAATGGCCCTGAGCTCTCCAAGGCCCAGAGAACAACCCAGAAAGTGTCACTGCTCAGAGTCACCACCCCAGGAGCAGTCACCTACCACTCTCCAAGTGAGATTTCTTTGCCTTTGGTGATCTCAAAGCCTCCTCTCTTCATCATGGCTCTCTGAAAGGAATACTGGCAACGAAACACAGGCAAGGGTCAGCACGGAGCGACAGGCTGGGCTTGGGAACACGTGGGTGACAGCCAGGCCAGAAGTGGGGAAAAGACAGGGACTTTAAAGTCAGTGACAGGGAAAAAGACAGCGAGAGAAACCCAACTGTCCACCCGCTCTCTGCTGGGCTTGTGCTCTGGGAAGCGGGCACTGCCTTGCTGCTCCTAGGTCCTGGGGGATTG